AATCGTGAGAGATTTCAATTGTGCAGTCACAAAATTACCCTCATTCATTTGAAAGAAAACATTGAAGGAAAATGTGAGGGTTTCTTTTTCATTTGCACAATTCCGTTGCATCTCGCCTCGCTCCCTATTACCTCTCACCTCTTTGACTGTGATATTTTGCTCTGCTCCTCACCTCTATGACTCCATTTCTGTCTCACGCCTATTGCTTCTCATTGTCACTACTAACTTCCCTGTTTTTACTTCTCATTCTGTGGGGTTATAAAATGATACTCTGTTTTTCACTAATTGATGGTCTATTTCTGCTAAAAATAAATGAATATGACAATTTTTTATCGTTATAACTCCTGTAATACGATGGTTAAATGTGTTGTTAATGGATACATCAAAGGCTGTCAATCTAACTATATGACTTGTCAATGACAAGTGATTGTGACAGGTTGATATGAATGATGGCAAGTTCAAGCAGGAAGTATTTATTCTGTTACCTCCATATAGGAAAACAATTTATTAATGGTGTAGAAGGTGAAATGCAATATGTTGGAAGTTGTGTGAGAGCAAGAATAATAAAGGAAGACACATTATATAAAGAATTTAGAGCAATGGTAGCATCAATTGTGGGAAAAGAAAGTAATAGAATGGTTATAAACTTCACAATAACCTTTGATAAGTGCACATTTATGGACCTTATAGATAATGAAATAGTGGAGCATTTAATTAACTTCAATGGTGATAGTGGTCATGTATATATAGGAGAAAATGGAGATGAAAATTTACAACTAACAAAGAATGTTCCAATAGAAGAGCAATATATGTAAGTTGTATTATTTAAATTTTGAAGTAGTGTTGCATGTTGTCAATTGTTCTGCTTAAGTTGTTATTGTAGTGGTCGAAGGTTGTCATTAACAACCCCCTGACTTTCTTGTTATGCAAGATGAAAGACTTGTTTAGAGGTTCAGATACATTGTCCATGTCTGCATTTAATGTGTTTAGTGAAGACCCACTATCATTGCCATGTGGTTCACAAATGATATCGAAAATGAATTAAAAAAAGTGGAAGGATTTTGTGAATGCATGTGACAGTATTATTTTGTAAATGTCATTACACATACCTCAAGTTATCAGTCATTATGTACATATGCAACCCATATGCTTTTTTAAGTGGGTTGTAAATTTGTGTAGTTACATTGTACATATATATATAAAATAGTAAATGACATATGGAAGTAATCTGATATAATATCATATTTCTATTTTGCTGTACTTGTCAATAGGTTATCATGGACTTATTATCACATGCTATAGAGGTTGTTATTAGCAGTCTGAATTAAGAATTGATATAATATGACAATTTCATGTACTTGTAGTGTTTCATGATTTCTTAACACGTGATTTTAGTGTTAAAGTTGTGATATAATATTATTTGGCTATAATTTGATGTCATGTAAAGGTTGTACTATCCCACAGAGTTAGTTATCAGTGACACTACTGAGGTTGTCAATAGATTCCCCTTGGGTTGTTAACACTTACCATTGAGGTTGTCAATAGATTTCTATAATAAAGTTCTACTATAATCAATTGGTTTCACTTAAAGTTGTTAATGACTTGAAAGAACTTCCCATTTTATTGTTAAAGTTGTTATATATGATAATAATACTATTTGGTTAGAGGTTGTGCTATCCCACAACATCAGTTGTCAGTGATACTGCTGAGGTTGTCAACAGATTCCTCTTGGGTTGTCAACAATCACTGTTGAGATTGTCAATAGATTCCCTTTGGGTTGTTAACACTTACCATTGAGGTTGTTAATAGATCTCTATAATAAAGTTCTACTATAATCAATTGGTTTCACTTAAAGTTGTTAATGACTTGAAAGAGCTTCCCATTTTATTGTTAAAGTCGTTATATATGATAATAATACTATTTGGTTAGAGGCTGTGCTATCCCACAACATCAGTTGTCAGTGATACTGCTAAGGTTGTCAACAGATTCCTCTTGGGTTGTTAACACTCACTGTTGAGGTTGTCAATAGATTCCCCTTGGGTTGTTAACACTTACCATTGAGGTTGTTAATAGATCTCTATAATAAAGTTCTACTATAATCAATTGGTTTCACTTAAAGTTGTTAATGACTTGAAAGAGCTTCTCATTTTATTATTAAAGTCGTTATATATGATAATAATACTATTTAGTTAGAGGCTGTGCTATCCCACAACATCAGTTGTCAGTGACACTGCCGAGGTTGTCAACAGATTCCTCTTAGGTTGTTAACACTCATTGTTGAGGTTGTCAATGGATTTCTATAATAAAATTCTACTGTAATCCAGTTGGGTTCACTTAAAATTGTTAATGACTAGAAAGAGCTTCCCATTTTATTGTTCAAGTCGTTATATGTGATAATAATACTATTTGGTTAGAGGCTGTGCTATCCCACAGAGTCAGTTGTTAGCAACACTGCCAAGGTTGTTAAAGACTTCTCCTCAGGTTGTCAATACTCGCTATTGAGGTTGCCAATGGATTTCTGTAATAAAATTCTACTGTAATGACTTGAAAGAACTTCCCATTTTGTTGTTAAAATCTTTATATATGATAATAATTAGAGGCTGTGCTATCCCATAAAGTCAGTTGTTAGCGATACTGCTGAGATTGTCAACGACTTCTCCTCGGGTTGTCAACACTCGCCATTGAGGTTATCAACAGATTTAGCAAAGAAGACTATGATATATACCTATCGTGTCATCATAGTTAGCATTTGTTTTTCAGCATTCATACTCGTATCATTTCTAGACATGATATGGGTATTAATGAAGAACTTTATGCTAATCAAAACACATGAATGGCATTAAAAAGACTTTATAAGCACTAGACAATGTCAATACACATTAATTTAACTTTACATTCAGCTATCATTATATTGTCAAATAAAAAAAACAAAATACTATATATGTTACCATCTCCAACATATTGCATTTCACCTTCTATACTATTAATAAATTGTCTTCCTATATGAAGGTATCAGAACAAATACTTCTTGTTTGAACTTGCCATCCTTTATATCAACCTGTCACAATCACTTGTCATTGACAAGTCATACAGTTAGATTAACAACCTTTAATGTATCCATTAATAACACATTTAACCATCGCATTACAGGGTTATAACAATAAAAAACTATCATATTCATTCATTTTTAACAGAAACAGAGCATCAATTAAAGAAAAATAGAGCATCATTTTATAACCCATAGAATGAGAAGCGAAAAACAGGAAAGTTAGTAGTGACAATGAAAAGCAATAGGTGTGAGGCACAGACAGAGTCATAGAGGCAAGGAGCAGAGCAGAATATCGTAATCAAAGATGCAAGAGGCGATAGGGAGAGAGGCAAGATGCGACGGAGTTGTGCGAATGAAAAAGAAACCCTCACATTTTCCTTCAATGTTTTCTTTCAAATGAATGAGGGTAATTTTGTGATTGCACAATTGAAATCGCTCACAGTTAAGTTCCTTGGGACTTCATATTTGTCTTAACATTTTCAGGGACTTTAAAGTGATAAAAATCTCTTGCTTGGGACTCTACAGTAATTTTCCCAAATTTATTTGCCTAATATTTAACAGTTCTTTACAAGAACATCAAGTAAAGGTTTTCTACAATACTACCTAATTATATTTGACTGTTTTTACAATAACCGTCAAGTATTAAGCATCATATATAAATAAATTTGTAGTAATATATGTACTCTGTTAGTATGACTGGAATGATTCTTTCTTTTTTTCCCCTTTTCTTTTTTGGCGGTGATGCACTAGAATGATTCTATCATGGACTAAATATAGTCTTAGCATTGCTCGGGTGAAAAAACTGGATTGGCTTTTCCCTTCCCATCCACTATTCACCTTTCCCTTGAACTATACCGTTTTGGTGTAGAAGTGGTGAGGTGGCACTCCACCCCCCCCAAAATAAGCATGAAGTACCCTTAAATACCTTTTTTAGTGCCACTTGTTATCTTGAAATATTTTCTAGTACCACCCGGTATTCTAATATAATTTTTAGTTCAATTAAAGCCCTAAAATATTTTTTTGGGTAACACCCAGTATTTGGCTTCCAGCATAATGAAGTATTTTTCAGTACCACATAACATCCTAAACTATATTTGCAGTACCACCCAATGTTTTAAAATAATTTTTGATCTAGTCAAAGCCCTAAAATACTTTTTTTTGTGACATCTAGTATTTGACTTCTAGCACACTGATGTATTTTTTTAGTAGCACCTATTATGCAAAATTAATTAGTATATTCAATATGATAAAATATTTTTTGAGTGGCACTTAATTTCTTGAAATAATTTTTGACGTAATATTTTAGGGTATTGAATGCACTAAAAATTAGTTTAAAATACCGCGTGTTATTGAAAAAATATTTTAATGTGCTGAAATCAGATACTGGGTGTTATAAAAAAATGTTTTAGGGCTCTGACTAGACCAAAAGTTATTTTAGCATGCTGTGTGGTAATGAAAAATACTTTAGTGTGCTCAAAGCTAGATATTAGGTGTTAAAAAAATTATTTTAGAGCTCTGACTAGGCCAAAAATCATATTAGAATACTCTGTGATACTGAAAAAATCTTTCAGGATAATAAGTATTAGGAAAAAAGAAAACTTCAGGATGCCAATTAGTTTAGTTAGTAAAGAGTCGGTTCATAACCTACAAGGTCATGAGTTGGAATCCTACTGTTGATATAAGAATCTTGTTAGTAGGTGAGTTGTAAGTATTTTCTTAAGTGCTCTTTGAATTTAGATGTATGTCCTGACCTTGATGAGTTTCGGGACTCAACTCACCTGCATTTTAATACACAAAAAAAAATTCTTATTTTGTTTTTTTAAAAAAAGTTGACCCCTCACTATTCCTAAATCAAAACGGTGTAGTTTAACTGTTTAAGGCAAAGGAAGGCGGCAAATTGTGTGATATTCCAAAACTACCCATGACTCAAAAACCCTATATGCTCTCTCTGCTTCTCGTTGCCTCTTCCTTGTTTCCCTGCTTTGTTGAAGTCGTGGTCTCTCTGCTTAGTCGTCGCGACCGTCGTCCGGCGCATCTCCAAACGCCGCCACCATCTCCGCCGTTTCATCCCAGGTTCCTTTGTCTCACCATTCTTTGATTTTTTTCGAAAAAAAATTCTCCAAATCTGTTTCCCCAAAGAGCTCTGAGAATAGTGATGAAAAATGAATGTGTTCTTTTTTCATCTGTAAGAAATCTTCTTACACGGAGATTCTTCCTTTTTTTTTTTCCCATGGGTAGTTTGTGCTGTTTGCTCTTTACTATATGGAATCGGACTGATGTTTTGGAACTTGGATGAAATATATTCATTGTTTATGTTGTTAATTACTAAATCAGTTATGCTCATGGATGAAAAATAAGACAAGAGGGAGAACTTTACTTTTGCATAATCCATTGTAACATGTTTGGATTACATTCTGCATGATAACATGGCCGCAATCCAATTATAAAATACGGCAAGCACTTAAATATCTTTTCTATACTATATTTTGAATTAGTTACCTTGTGAACCTGTGTGTCACCATGTTTTGTTCAGCATTGCTTAACTTGTGTTAGGAATTTCACAAATAAAATGGTGTCCCAACAACCCCTGTTTAACCTTTTTTTCCCCTTCAAAATAATAGAAGAATAAGCAATTTAGTATTTTAATAATCTCTTAAAACAAATACTTTATATAATGCCCGTCTTTTCAAGTCATCGTTTAGAAAGATGATAAAAATATAATGCAATCTATCAGACAAAAAGAAGTGGTTTATTCACGACATTTTTCTTGTCATTGCAGCACCCATGGCTGAGGAGGAGCCCAAGCCCTTGAACTATATTCCAGAGATTATCTTGAAGAAACGAAAAAGCAGCGAGGCTCTGGCCTTGAGGAAAAAGGATCAACTTCAACAGAAGAAGTTCCAAAAGAATTCCAAGGACTATATCAAAAAGCCTGAGGATTTCATTATTGAGTATCGAAACAAGGTCTCTCTCTCTCTCTTTCTCTTTCTATATACATACATGTATATTTCTATTTGTATAATGTGGAATGATTTTGTGCTTGCTGTTACTTGTTACCCTATGGTTTTCTTGGGATATTTGAAGGAATCCTTCCTACACTGTGGTGGTGTGTGGGAATCCAATACATTACAAATGTTCATGCTTTCTATAACAGTAGGAAGTAATTTTCATGTATTAATTTCATGAAAAATTTCCACTCCTGGCTGGATGGCCAAGCTTCATCTAGGCATTCCATATTGAATTGAAAATGAACTGGAAATGTTGAACTGATATATGCTGAACATAGTAAACAAACTAGAGAGAACATACTGATATCAATATTTTTAGATTTTCTATATGCAGAATGGCCTTAGTTTCCTTTCAGTGATATTGTCTATGATTTTTATGGTTAGTGGTGTATTGACTACATTGGAACATTGGAAAACTCTTCCCAATCAATAGATGTAATGTGTTGTTGCATATTAGCATATGTTAATTAGCCATTTTCATTTTGAGTATGTTTAATGATTGTGATGAACTATGATTTTTTATTTAGGAGCTTGACCTTATTAGAATGAACCGACGGGTCAAGAGGATCAAGAAACAACCAGAGCTGTTGATGCCAAATTCAAATTCGAAGTTATTATTAATCATTCGGATACAGGGGTATGTTTTTATGCTTTGAGAATATGATCTCTCTGTATCATCTGTCTCTTATCCTGACTATACTGGTAACCTCTATTGTTTATCAATAATGTTAACAACAAAATAACGCTTCTGAAGCTATATGAAAAATTGTGCTAATTCTCTGTTTTCATTATTTTCAGAAAAAATGACATGCATCCAAAAACCCGAAAGGTCTTGTACAAATTGAATTTGAGAAGAATATTCAGTGCTGTCTTAGTGAGGGCAAGTGTGGGGATTATGGCAAAGCTGCAGAGGGTGGAACCATATGTCACCTATGGGTAAGAGATGAGTTTTCCTGATTGTATATTTTTGTTAGAAGAATCATTTTTGAGCTTCCATGTGTTTACATGTTACATGCTGATATTTACGGAAAGAAAAATAATGGTTTTGGAATATAAATGGTTTAGTTGAATTAAAAATTTAAAAGGGTTTGTATAAATTGTAATTATCTTACCCACTTCAAGGATGCTAATGCTGTTTGCTAAGATAGTACAAGTTATCCGTTTTGCTGCATGTTTATGGTGTTCAATTGCAAGGTAGTCTTCTCACAACTCAATTTTCAGTACACTTTTAAACCTGGACATTAACTTCAAAATTTCTTTTTGGGAAGTTGAAATTGTTTGTTGCTTTCTATCTTTGGGCAGAAAATTGTCATGAACATCTGATTTTTAATTTCCTGAGTTTCAGATTTACAGTGGGTGTCTAGAACTTGTGTGGGATGGCATGATATTGCTATTTTGATTGTATCTTCAACTTCCATTGTTGGTTTTAGGGGAACAAATTTCTCAACACGATTTAAAAGAATATCCCTTGTAAAGTTTTCTTCATAATTTTGTAAATATTTGCTTCTTTTGAAGGTATCCTAATCTTAAAACCATAAAGGAACTGATCTACAAGAAGGGATTCGCAAAAGTAGACAACCAGAAAGTTCCTCTGACAGACAATAACATTATTGAACAGGCAAGACACAGCTTTACGATTCCTTGGCCTGTTCACCTCTAATGGCCCCTGTTTATGGTGACAGACTTTTCTCGAATTTATCTCACAGGCATTAGGAGAGCATGGAATTGTGTGCATAGAAGATATGGTCCATGAAATTGTTAATGTTGGTCGACACTTTGAAGAAGTTGCCAGTTTCTTGTGGCCCTTTGAACTCAACAACCCAGCTGATGGCCTGCAAGGATCGAAAACCTTATACAAGGATGGTGGAGACACGGGGAACCGGGAAGATCTCATCAACGAACTAATCAACAAAATGAATTAAAACCATTTCCTACTCATGGAGAAATTTTGTTTTGTCTTAAATACTGGCTGCCACCATTTCATTTCCAAGATTTTGCTGGTTTAATAGACATATTGGAATATTTGTTATAGGTGTTGTTTATTCCTCTGCTACAAGTATTGGGACAGGTAGAATGATTAGCCCTTAGACGTATTGAAACTCAGACAAGGCTACTATCATTGTAAATGACGAGCCTTTCACTATTTGATGTCTCAGATTCTCAGACTCGTAGAATGTGGTGTGGCTTATAAATGTCTCTTTTGTGCTATGAAAATTTACTAACCTGAAGTTTACTTGAAACCGTTGATATTGTGAATTGCATTTCAATGTTCTTCCCAAAGAATGCACAGAACTAGCTTGCCAGTGCGTGGGGATGGAATTAAGCTTTCGCCAGGCATCTTGCTACACGGGAGAAGGAAGGAAAGGGTAAAAGGGACGTATTACAGGATAGCGAAAATTGAGCGATATTTCGTGTTAAAGTAGGAAAATTGATTCTTCAGTTCTTATGGTTTCGTATGATCTCTTAACTATTTTTATGATCTCTTAACTATTTTTATAGTTTTTTCCCTTTTTATTGAATTCTTGTAACCTTAGTTATAGGCATTAGTATTTACATTTTTATAATCAGGGTTGATGTGGATATGAAGAAGCATGTATGTTATCACAAAATACAAAATTAGTTTTTTAACAAATAAGTAATGGAATAAAATTTATTTATTATCGACGTAAACTTATTATGCTTATAATTGTCTCCGTGCATCTCTATACGTAATATAGTTGATTTTGATTCAAACTGGATTTGTGGCAAAATTGACTTAGGTGTATGCTTAGTGAGAATCACGTTATTGGTTAGTAACATTTATCTTGCTGTAATACACCTTTTGAGAAATCCTCGTACTGTAATGATGCATGGTAAAAAGTTCAAGAAGGAGTTGATGAAAAAACTTGTGCCACTAATTTTATTCTCAAAAGAGGAAAAATAGGCATCTATCCAAATTGGTTTTGAATGAAATGGGAACAAAACCAACTTAGAATTGGGAGTCCCATATAAATGATATAAACATTTGTAACACGTTGAAGTTCTACCAAAGTATACTTGATCATGAAGACGAATTGGAATCTAGACTTCAAATACTATTCTAGAAGATGCTTTTTACGGCAGTTAAAAAAGCTTTTTGAACAGCGATTTTATAAGCAGTGTCAATGTTGTCGACGTAATAAACAAAAGATTTCACTGTGATTATAAAACCGCCATGAAAAATGACTTTTATGGACAGTTTTTTAGTTAACTGTCGTGAAAAAGTCCTCTGTAAATGTTAAAACCACTATGGAAAATATTTTTCATTGGCGGTTATCTAAATAATTGCTATGGAAAGTGCTTGTTTTCACACACACACATATATATAACCTCCCCGCATTGAATTAAACCAAAATAGACTAATTCTAGCTAGCAAACCAATTCAATGGCAAAGCAATTCAATGTTAACACCAAAATTGTAAAATTGAACAACTGAACTAAACCTTATTCAACTAAAACTCAATGTACAATTCAATACTAACGATCAAATTTAACGCTAACATAGCCAGAGTTTTCAATCCAAATTCAACCAAGCCTAATCAATAACTTAACCAATCTCTAGTTCAACTAAATCTAAAGAACAACAAACTAAAAAACCTATTGAACCATTAATGAAGGAATGAAACCAAAACTTTGTCATCTACCAGACTTGACAACTCAATTATAGTAATTGTTTATCAACCCATGAACTCAGTTAATGTTTTTGCCAAATCATCCCTCATTGTGTTGATTTTGTCAGGTTAATATTTGTTGTCATTTTAAAATGCCTGAAAATTAAAAGGAACAAAACCATTATCTAAGAATTAAAAATGTGAAAAAAAAAATTTAAAGAGTTACAGAACAATTGTGTAAATTCTATTTACCTCGTCTAATTTTTCAGTGACCCCTGTCTCAATAATGTCACTAATATGACGGATCACATAATATCCATATTCAATGCCAATATGATATATAGATTAATCAAAAATGTAATCCAACTCTCAAAGCACTAACAATAATCAAAACAACCAATACAAACGCTTCAAAACCGAAATCAAGCAATCCATTTGAAATATAGATACTTTTTATCATCAAACAATGAAAACAATACCAAAAAAAAAAAGCAAGAGGAAGAAGTTAGAGCATACTCTTGGTGTAGAAGACAGCGAAAATCTAAAAAACAAGCTCTCTCAACGGCGAGATCAACCAATGATAGTGAAAGACAGCGAAACAATGGCAGAACACAGTGAGAATGATGAGGTTTGATAGGAAATAGTGGGAGGAGGAAGTTTTGACAGTGCTGAGGCAAAAAGAAAGACCACGGTATTGTGTAAAAAAGTGAGAGTTATCGTGCCAGAGTGATTAGGGTAGTATTTTGAAATGACTTTTAACGACAGTTTCGGTTAAAAGTATTTATGACAACAGTTATTCAATTAACTGCTGTGAAAAGTGATTATGATGGTGTTTTAGCAAACGTCGTCATAAGTTAAAATGTCAGGAAGTTTTTTTACCCTAGGATTGGACTTTTTACGATGGTTATTAAGAGAACCGTGAGAGTCAACACTTACCAAAACTTAATTACAAAAACACTATCACTTTTTTTAATAGAGTTTTTACCTTTAATCGCTGTAAATTAGTGTTATGGAATCTATTTTTCCTTGTAGTGAGAAACATATCCTTAATGTAGCTACAAATGATACATTCGAAAAGGGTCATATGCATAATTGAAAGTCTTATGCAATATTCCTTTAATCCCCAATTCTTGAATGGTGTTGACTGGTTACCACTTCAAGAGACTAGGTTCAAAACCCTAAGCATAGTTCCTTCACTCTCTTATTTTATTCCCCCATCATTCCTTCGTCTTCCACCTTTTTCTTTCACTCTTCCATCTTCTTCCATGGCTACATGAATGGTGTTGTTGTTTGGCGCTCCCTTGGACGTGGCTGTATGGTTGAGGTTCCTTACATCTCTTGAGTAGGGGTGATGGTGGTCAGAGCTTTGGTTCTTGATTAGGGGAGTTTCTAGTTCTATTTTATGTTTTGTTCTGCAATGTATTTCCAAATTCTTCCTGCAATGCATATATCGATGTATATGTTGTTGAGACTCCATTATATTGAACTAGATTATATGTATTTGGATTAAAATTTTTGTGGTTGAGTACTTTGTTATATTAATTCATATCTCAATTGAGTTAAGTGATGGTCTATTATGTTGTTTGATTCTACATTTTGTGCTTGCTTGGAGTTTTGCAATGATGGTTGTTTCATTAATTAAGGTGATTAAAAAATAAGTGCATGGCATAGTAATGCTAGGTGCATTCCATTAATTAGAACTTAATCAAAGGGAAAGTGCATTAATCTAATCCTAATTGCATTCCAACTCCTAATGAAATGAACCAAAGCCCACCACTTAACCAAGTCTCAAGATATCCATTCCTATACATTTCTATCATTCCCATCTATTCCATTCCATTTTTATACTAAAAATATTATTGAGTTCATGCATACATGTTGATTTTGTCGTTGTCAATTTTGCATTCCCATCACTTAATTAACTTAGGATTCGAATAAAGGCTCCTCAAGTGAAACAATCCAAATCACTTGTTGCATCTCTTGGGGATTGTTGATTTTAATTCCTACGGCATGTTAGGACAAGGTTAAATCAATGGCAACATTGCTTCAGAGTCATTTTTAACTCTGTAGGTTAACTAGGGTTGATACAATTGAATTTGAATAAAGAAGGACATAAAGAAAAGCCTTTCATTTTATCTTCTCACACTAGACAAGTTTTCTATGTCCCAAATTCTGCTACTAATGAATGGTTTATTATTTTGTTGGGCAATAAAATAAATGACGAAAACAAGATGAGATATGGGGACAATGGAGTTAAGGATGATCTATATTTTATGGGACATCCTTTGGAATAAATTTTAACAAAGATGATGCTTTGTATGCTAGGCATGATCATAATAAAGGAATATAGATTTCAAAGAGGAAAAAACTTCACAATATGAAGAAAAGTTTAATTCAAGTTAAAAAGACATTAATAAAGCAAAGACCAATAGGAAAAGAAAACGAGCCACTGCTACTTCGCTGAGAATAACATTATCATGTAAGTAATTGGTTGGTTGTTATCATTTTGGTTCTTGATTGCAATGCCGATCAGCAATCCCCTATTATATTAAAAAAAAAAAAAAAATTGGATGTCTTACATGATGGTTATTCGTCATAACCATCATGTACTAATATCATACAATTGATGGTCACTGAAGACAAAATGTCACATAAAGATATCAAGTCACTTGGCCTTTTCAAGTTACTATTCACAAGATAATCTTGAAATTTTGACCAACTTTGAAAATTCATAATTAATTCTAAACAAATCGAAATAAGCTTGTTTCAAGTTTTATTTGAAGCCTTTTCAATTTTTGCATAGGAAAAATACTCACTGGATTCATAGCTTTGCCGTTTTAGCCCAAATATATACTCTTCATTTGGTAAATTTTTCCTTTTCTAGATTTTTTTACCATAACCTCAAAAGTTCATAACTTTTCATATATGACTCTAGTTTAGGTGATCTATCACTCTATTTAAAGCTCAAGATGAGCATTTTTACCCTGCAAAATCTTATGGCAACATTTGTCTATTTGTTTAGGATCTCATGTTCACTAAGTTATGGTATTTTAAGCTATTTTCTTACCCTTTTAATGCCATTATTTAGGCATTTGTGCCATAATTAAGCCATTCATCATGTATATCAATACATATCTATACCTCGGCTATACTTTATATAACAATAAAGTTATTAACTCATACAATCATCCATGATAAATTTACAAACTTACAAAATTTAAAGCATAATTGAAAGTTCCATAATAGAACATGTATTCTTTCAGGGTAACTCCACTTCCTTGCCTTTGCTTCTAGAATATCCAGCTATAAATTATGAATATCCTACAAATTTATCAAGAACAGTCAACAAAAAATCATTATGAAGCTATAAATGAATATGTTAGATTTTGATGTGTAATCAGTTGTAATTATTTGTACTCTTCATTGTTAATACACCATTTATCACTTATCAGTCATAGCCCTATTACTTGTCAAATTATCTGTTGATGCAAGTTTAAAAAAAAAAGTGATTTCAGGTTATATAATGTCATAATATCATTAATTCCTTTATACTAATACATTTTGGTTATAATGCAATATAAAATCATTATTAAAAGTCAATTATCGCTAGT